CGCACACCCGCTGACTGCAGTTCTAGTACAGACCTTGGCTGGTTTGGTTCTCGTTGACCCACCTCGAATCCCGTCGCAGAATTTCAACGCCTTGTCGGTATGTCTTTTCATACCAGACCTAACCTGCTAGAAATCCGGTTCGTCACATAACCGAGTGGCAAAGCTCTGACTACCAAGCCCAAACCAAACCAGACACGCCACCCCAAACCACGAAAATGTTATCAGACCAGACGTCATCATGACACGAACCGCGAAACATTTCCCTTTGCAGTCCTTGTTGACCAGTCACCTCGCGTCTCGGGAATCTTTCTCTCGCCAGTCAACCCCCTCCCCGACTCGAGGAATGTGAGATGGCTGCTGCACATAAATTGCTCCCAATGTTCAATCTCTTCCCAACTCAAACTTTCCTCTGCCTTCCCCCTTGCATCCAACCTAGTTCATTCTCGTCTCTTCAGAAACCAAATTACTACCCGATTCTGAAAACCATGGCAGTCAGGAGTCTTTTTATCGTCTGCATTGCGCTCCTCATTGCGACCTCCGTGGATGCGCAGCGTGTTCCGCCTGGCGGAGGCCCTCCCGGAGGCCAGCAGCCAGGAGGGGGGCGCGGAGGACCTGGCGGGTCTGGCGGACAGGCTGGTCCGCACGGTCCTCCGTTCAATCTGACGGTAGTCGGAAATCTGACGGCGGACGTTAACGCGCGATTGGCTAACTGCTCCGCGGACCCAACGTTTCTCGACGGCCGCTTTCACCTCGCCATCTTCAAGTGAGCTTCGGGACTTTGCCAACGAAACCCTAATATTCGTGTGGCTATAATTGTCGCCGCGCATTCTCACTGTCAATTTACCTTCGGCGTCGCAGATGTTGCGCCGCATTCATTTCTTTCACTTCAGCCAGGGACGCGTTACCATCGTTCCTCCTTTCACTCACATCCCTCCCCCCACTTTTCACCCTTCCGCCACGCTTCCCCCCCGCTTCCCCACTTCCCCCTCCGCCAGGAACGCGAGCGGCAATTACAACCTGGCGGTAGACGCGCTCCTGGTGGGAGCCACGGGCGGGCCGCCCGACTCCCTCGCGATCGTGAAGGGCGCCGTCTGCGACTCCTCCGCCTCCGCCGCCGCGATCCTCGCGCTTCCGCTGGCGGCGTCCGACTGGCAGCTGCGCGACGGCTGGTGGCTGCTGCACGCGGAAGCGCGGCTCGACGCGTTCCTCGAGAACGCGGACGCCGCCACCGTCGACGCGCTCCTCGCGCTCCTCCCCAACGCGACGCTGCCAGCGACGCGAGGCGGCGGCCGCGGCAAAGGCAGCGGAGGCGGAAGCGGCGCGGGGGGAGCGCGCAGCGGACAGGGGAGCAGGCGCATGGGGAGGGAGCTGCTGATGCGCGCAGCGGGCCGCGTCACTGGTGCGAAGCAGGGGGCGCCGCAGCCGCCTGCAGCTAGTCCCTCAGGCGCTGGGGGTGCGGGGGGGATGATGGGGGATGGCGGGATGAACGCGACTGTGAGTGGGTATGCCGTGCTGGCCACTGCCACTGCGGGGGGTGTGGCGTGGGGCGGCCAGCTCATGGGCGTCAAACTGCCCTCCGCCGCTGCTTGATGTGATGGCGGTGCTGCTGGCGGCTTTACGCTGCTATTCTGATTCTTGCTGGGTACAGAGTAGCTGGGGAAGAGTTCTGTTGGCTGGCAACTTCTGGTGTTTGGGGATTTTTGAGGTAGAAGTTCTAGAGTATCTTAGTTTGGAGTAAGCATCTGGGCAGGAATGTTGGCAAATCACCATGCTTCTCTTCACGAGCAGACTTGCCAATCTTCCTGCCCTTTGCTTGTAATTTTGTTCTTTGTCTTGTTGAGGAGTTATAGGGTATGAAGCTATGTGTTTTTGAAGTGTACAATTCTACTCTTGACAGTGTTATGATACGGAAACACGAGGCTGGAGTTGCGAAACGAAATCCTTCGCCTCCTCTTCGGTTTAGGGGGGCGACTGTACGCGAACTGCTAGGTTACCTGCGTCGTCACATATCGTTTTTCTTCCAATGATTGTGAGGATTGGTAATTTTGGTTCTTCTTTCGCTTATCGTTCCCGCACCGCACATTTGCCTTGCTTCAGACTTGTCGCGATGCCTCTTTCCCACCTGAACTTCGGGTTTCCACCTGAACCACAGTCCCAAAATATCGGGGCTCTACGTGTTTTGCGAGGTAAAATTGGGGTAACGTACTCGCGGTCAAGAGAATGTGTGGCTCGTTGTGGGCCCGTGAATTGTGGGCCGTTCCGTTGCCCGTGACCGTGGAATGGACCGCTGATTCTTATCAATTGCTTCTGGCTGAGCTGGGCCTAATGGGCGGTCGATTGTGCATCAAAATCTTTTGCCTCCCCTCGGTCACATGCCTGCAGAACAGCGCCCCTTGCGAGTCATAGCACAATTTATTGACAGAACATAATTTGTTGTTTCACCAGACGAAATCTGGCAAGCCCTTGTCGCGTCGCGACCACTCCTGAAGCAACGGCTGTGTGCTTCTGACGGGCCCTGGTCCCTTCAGCCTGAAGCTTCATGGCGTGATTTACTACTTTCTACCCTGTCGTTGCTCGCGTTCTCCTCGCCTTATCGAGCCGAGTTGAGTGCACTTCCTCCCAGTTTCCCTTCGCGGAATGCCGTAGGTTACACCTTCGTCATAACTGCTCTATTGCGCGGTTCGGTCGTCGTATTTAGCTGTTGGGCATCCCGTTGCCGCGACTCAGCGAGTGGTGACACGCGCAAGTCGTAGTGCAGAGATTTTTGCTCTAACGGGAGCTCTACGAAATGCTTCTCTGTAGCCACGCAAACTTTGTTGTTCACCAAGGAGAAATTTGCCTAAGTCCTTGAAGACATTGATTTTTGGCACACACAGAAAAATCACTAGAATTGTAGAAAGATAGAATACAAACAAGGGGTGAAATAGAAGCTACCCAACCAATGAACCATTCAGAGAACGTTCGCCCAAGAACGTTTACATAACTACTTTTAGCTGCGCTTTGCCAACTCAGCGTCGGCAGGTGAAAATTACAACATGTGCTTAGTAGGTAATTTTTACCTACCTAAAAGTAGTTGTTTTAGCTGTTCAGGTTGTTTTAAACAGCTTTTGTAACGCACGTTTTCCTAGTTACGAAAACGTGCACCAGGTTCAGTTTGCTCAGGTGGTTCAATTCGGCCCCAGATTGAATACCCCAAGTTCACGCACTGTTTCTGGGGGTCAATTTCTTAATGTCCGCAATGTTCCGAAATTCCCACGCAAAAGTTCCGAAACGATCGCGTTTTCGCGTCGGAAGGGTTCGCCGGTCGAAATTGTGATCCTCTGCAGAATTTCGTTTCTGCAGATGCGCCTTCTTCTGCAGCTCCGAAAACTCTGCGGACGCGCCTTCCTCTGCAGTACCACGATCTGCTCTGCAGATTCGCCCTCTTCTGCAGACTCGCGTTCCTCTGCAGCAGGACTTGGTTTCCGCTTCTGCGAAGTACTTCTGCTGCAGTGCAGAGCTCCGCCCTGTCCTCTGCGAATTTCCGCTTCGGTAGAATTTCGCGTCCCTTGCAGAAGGCGACGACCATCTTCTGCAGGGTCAATGCCAGCTCAACAGTCGTTGCTCGCGTTCTCCTCGCCTTATCGAGCCGAGTTGAGTGCACTTCCTCCCAGTTTCCCTTCGCGGAATGCCGTAGGTTACACCTTCGTCATAACTGCTCTATTGCGCGGTTCGGTCGTCGTATTTAGCTGTTGGGCATCCCGTTGCCGCGACTCAGCGAGTGGTGACACGCGCAAGTCGTAGTACGGCTCGATCGATCGGCGGCCGCAGAAGAGCATTCGCCAAACTCTTTAACACGGAATAAACATTCGTCAAACTTCGCTGCAAATCGCAAGTCGTACATTCGAGGCATACATTCGCCAGACTACGCTGCACAACCATTGTTTTCGCAATTCATTGGCGACTGTTAGCGAAAGGAGTTCGCGACACGCGAACATTTGGAATTGCTGCGCGCAATTCGCGTCCTTCTCGCGACTTTCGATTTCTGGCCTGCAATCCGACTTCCCTTTAGGCTACCCTTTGCAGCGACAGAACGGAATCTGACAAATTTATTCGATTTGATTCGATTCGGTGAGAAGCGACGCTGATTGAGCTACATTACGCGATGTTCCCGATGCTTCCGGGAACCTGCACTCGGACATCTTCTCCCTGTTCAGTGATTCACGCCTCGCCACGTGTCCCTTCCGCCACAAAGGAAATCTCAAAGAGAATTCTTCCCTGTTCCGCCGTCTCCGCTCGACCAATCAGAATCAGCCTGAGTTGTCTCGCCGTCACACCCAGGAGCAGCCGTCTAATAAAACGCTCTGCCGGCAAGGATAGCAGATTCCGACGTTCGTTTCTCGGGAACGCGGGAGCGCTTCGTTGCAAAGACACCTCCGCCAATGGCCCGTCCGTCAGGCGTCCGTCAGTCAGCGCCACTTCAGCAGACAGGATTAGCCGTCCGTCAGTTAGCGCCCGTAGCCACGTCATTGCGGCTGCAGCAGCTGCAGTGGTGGCGGGGGGGATTGCGGCTGCGCCAGCAGCAGCGGGAACGGCAGGGGCAGGGGTAGGAGCAGCAGCAGTGACATCATCGTCAGCGACGGGAGCAGTGGGAGCGTTGCTTGCCGCGTGTGGCGTGAACACGCCCGTCCTGCGCGCATCCCTGGGAGCCTCGTTCAAGCTCTTCGCCATGTGCGGTGAGTCGCCGCCAAATGTTGCCTCGTGCTGATCCCTCACTTGGCAATTCTGGTCGCTATTTTGGTCGCAATTCTCATCGCACGCAATTCTCGACGCAATTCTGGTCGCAATACTGATCGTGTTCCCCCTCTCCATGTTCGTCCCCACAGCCTTCATCATGTGGCCAACGTGCTTCCTAAAGCCACCACCTTCCACTACTGATCGCACTCACCCCACCTCCATGCTCCCTCCCTCCTTCCCCCACCCCTCCCATTCTCCTCCGCCCAGCCTTCATTGTGTGGCTAATGAAGGCCAACGTCCTTCCTGAAGCCACGCCTTCGGTTCTCAGTCAGGTGGGGTTCAGGTGTATCGTCAGGTGCGGCTCAGGTGTATCGTCATGTGGGGTTCAGGTGTATCTTCAGGTATGGTTCAGGTGTATCGTCACGTGAGGTTCAGGTGTTGCCGGGTGGAGCTCAGTGTATTCAGTGTGCCATCAAGGTGTGGTTCAGGTTAATAGTCAGGCGCGTCTCAGGTGTCTAGGCAGGTAAAATGTAGTGCTGGTCTGGCTCGGTGCTTTCAGGTGAACTGCATGGTGCGTCCTGGTACACGAATCACTGTAGATGTCCCAATAGGTGCTCCTACAGGCGCTTTCTCAGGTGCATTTTCAGGTGCTTTTTCTGGAGCTGTACGGACTTAGCTCTTGACCTCTCTCGGCCTACCCTTTCGTCCACGGCTCACCTCACCCTTTCCTCACAGCCACCCCTCCTCCCCGCTCACTCTGCTGCCCTTCCATTTCATGCCACCGCCCGCCTGCCTTCTAGGCGCTCATCCCTTGCGTCCGCACCACCAAGGTCGACTTTTGAGGCGCCTCAAAAGTCATCCCTTGCTTCCTCACCTTAACACCAAGGTTGCCTCTACTCGCTCCGTGCAGCCCCTCATCATCTTGCTCATCTCTTCACCCCCCTCAACTCCTCTTCACCCCCTTAACACCTCTTCACCCCCCTCAACCGTTCTCCACCGCTCCAGGTGGCCTTCCAAGCGCTCATCCCGTGTTTCATGATGACCAAAGTCGCCTCTACTCTCTCCGTGCAGCCCCTCGCCGTCTCACTCATGTCTTCACCCCCCTCAACCGCTCTCCACCCCTCCAGGTGGCCTTCCAAGCGCTCATCCCGTGTTTCATGATGACCAAAGTCGCCTCTACTCTCTCCGTGCAGCCCCTCGCCGTCTCACTCATGTCTTCACCCCCCTCAACCGATCTCCACCCCTCCAGGTGGCCTTCCAAGCGCTCATCCCGTGTTTCATGATGACCAAAGTCGCCTCTACTCTCTCCGTGCAGCCTCTCTCCTCGCTCGCCTTCCTGCCTCTCCTCGCGGTCTTTCAGGTGCGCTGCACTCCTCCCCACTCCTCCCCACTCCTCCCCACTCCTCCCCACTCCTCCCCACTCCTCTCCACTCCTCTCCTCTCCTCTCCACTCCACTCCAATCCTCTCCATTTTACCTCATCCCACTCCATCCCACTCACACTTTTGATTCTCTCATCTCAAGCTCCTACCCCAGTCCAGCCCACTGCACCCCACTCCACCCCACTCCACTTTTGATTCTCCCGGATTCAAGCTCCTACCCCAGACTAGCCCACACCGCCCCACTCCACCTCACTCCACTCCACCTCACTCCACTCCACGTTACTCTAATCTCAAGCTCCTTCCCTGTCCACCCGCCTCATCCCATTCCGTGGTTGGGGGGACCTAGAACCCTCATGATGGGTATGATGGGTATGATGGGTATGATGGGTATGATGGGTATGATGGGTATGATGGGTATGATGGGTATGATGGGTATGATGGGTATAATGCGTATGATGGGTATGATGCGTATGATGGGTATGATGCGTATGATGGGTATGATGCGTATGATGGGTATGATGGGTATGATGGGTATGATGGGTATGATGCGTATGATGCGTATGATGGTTTGATGTGTGTACTACCTCCAGAGCATCATCCCCATTCCCATCCGTGCATCCTCTCCCATCCATGCATCCTCTCCCATCCCTCTCACCTCCCCCTTCCCTGTCCTCCCTCCCGGGTCCTCTGTGGAGCAGCTCTAGGCAATCTAGCTTGCTCTCTCGCCTACCACCATCTGTTCTTTGAGAATTCTCAAAAAACAAATTCTGCTCTCTCTAGCCTACCACCACCCACCCTCCCTCTCCTCACTCTCGGCTCCACTGCTTTTGTACTCCTTGGAAACTCCTTCCACCGCACCCCACTCCACCGCACCGCACCCCAAACCCCCCTGTTCTCAGGTCATCTGTGGAGTAGAGTAGCAGCTCTAGGCAAGCTAGCCTGCTCTCTTTCTCGTACCACCGCACCACCTCGCTCACTTCTGCACTGCTTGTAAACCCACCCCACCCTTCCCCACTCTCAGGTCATCTGTGGAGTACAGTAGAGCTCTAGGCAAGCTAGCCTGCTCTTTCGCATACCAATGTACCTCCCCTCTCCCCTCGGGCACTTCTGCAATATGTTATAACTTTCGGTATGCCTTTCCATATGGTGTGGTATGACTTGGCATGGCTGTCCGTATGGCTTGGCATGGCTGTCCGTATGGCTTGGCATGGCTGTCCGTATGGCTTGGCATGGCTGTCCGTATGGCTTGGCATGGCTGTCCGTATGGCTTGGCATGGCTGTCCGTATGGCTTGGCATGGCTGTCCGTATGGCTTGGCATGGCTGTCCGTATGGCTTGGCATGGCTGTCCGTATGGCTTGGCATGGCTGTCCGTATGGCTTGGCATGGCTGTCCGTATGGCTTGGCATGGCTGTCCGTATGGCTTGGCATGGCTGTCCGTATGGCTTGGCATGGCTGTCCGTATGGCTTGGCATGGCTGTCCGTATGGCTTGGCATGGCTGTCCGTATGGCTTGGCATGGCTGTCCGTATGGCTTGGCATGGCTGTCCGTATGGCTTGGCATGGCTGTCCGTCCCATCTCCCTGTCCAAATGGCTGTCCGTATGGCTTGGCATGGCTGTCCGTCCCATCTCCCTCCTTCCCCTTCCTTTCCCATTTTCGTTTCCTTCTGTCGTCCTAGGTCCTCTGTGCAACAACCTGGCAAGCTAGCTTGCACCCTCGCCTACCACCGTCCATCTCTCGCTTTTGTTTTCCTTGAATACTCATTCCATCCCCCCCCCTTTCCAAACCCCTCCCCACCCCACCCACCCACCCAACCCTAAACCCAGATCCTCTGGATTAGCGCTAGGCAAGCTAGCCTGCACCATCGCCTACCGCCGGCCCTCCTCGCTCTCCTCGCTCCCCTCTGCACTAGTTTTGTTCTCCATTTCTCCTTGAAACTCCTTCCAACCCATCCCCTTCCCCTTCTCCAGATCCTGTGCGGATTAGTGCTAGGCAAGCTAGCCTGCACCATCGCCTACCGCCGTCCCTCCTCGCTCCCCTCCCCTCCTTCTGCCCGCCACATCGCCTTCTCCGTCGCCCAGAGCATCGGCCTCTCCCCCTCTGCTGCCGCCCTCCTCTCGGGCCTCCCCTTTCCGCAACGGGACGGGGGAGAGGAGGGGGCGGCAGGCGGCGAGAAGGTGGTGCCTGGGCGGGGAGTTTTGTCTGCACCTGGGATGGTTGGGGCGGCAGAGCGGGCGGCGGGGAGGAAAGAGTCGGTGGTGATGGCAGCATGTGCGTTTGGAAACTCGCTCACTCTGCCTCTTGTGTTTCTGGCAACGCTGCTGACTCGCGCTGATGCTGACAGGGCTGCTGGGTACCTCGCACTCTTCATGGTTGGGTGAGTACAATTTTAATGGTTGGGTAACACTGCATTATACCCACCCTTGCTGACAGGGCTGCTGGTTACCTTGCATTCGTCACGGTTGGGTGAGTATACCTTTACACCTTGCTGTGTTGGGTACAATAGCACTCTACCATAGATGGGTACCTGGCGCTTTTAGACTGCCTTCTGAACCCTGGGTTACTGCATGTTCAGAAGGGGAGGGTAACCCAGGGTTCAGAAGGCAGTCTAAAAGCGCCAGGTACCCATCTATGGTAGAGTGTAAGAGGGATATGCAGCCCTCTTTGCATCCTCCCTTTTGTCCCCTCTTTCTCTCCCCCCCTCCTCTTTCTTCTCCATTCTTCCGGCGGAACGATGGCCTTCTGGACTCTGGGTTACAGCATGTTCAAAGGGAATTTTACTTTTGAGAATTCTCAAGAGTAACAGGCACATGCTCCCCCCTTCGCATCCTCCCTTGTGTCCCCTCTTTCTCCCCCACCCTTCCCCCCGTCCACTCGTCCAGCAGATCGACTGCCTTCTGGACCCTGGGGTACAGCATGTTCAGAGGCCATCGCCAATGCTTCCCCTCCTTCCCTCCTTTCCCATTGCTTTAAATACCACTCCCTACCCCCCCTCAACCCCTTGCAGCGGATCGACTGCCTTCTGGACCCTAGGTTACAGCATGTTCAGAGGGGGGAGTAATGCACAGGAAGAGGGTGACGAGGAGGGGGTAGAGGGGAGTGCAGCAGCAAAGATGGAAGCAACAGCAGCGGCTGCAGCAGCGATGGGAATGACGGGGTTTGAACGTGCTGCAAGCCGTGTGATGGAGATGGCAAAGAAAGTGCTCAACCCGCCTATTTATGGGGTGAGATTATATTTATGGGGTGAGTTTCTATTTATGGGGTGAGTTTCTAATAATGGAATTGGTGGGACTTACGGGGTTTGAACGTGCTGCAAGCCGTGTGATGGAGATGGCCAAGAAAGTGCTCAACCAGCCTATTTATGGGGTGAGTTTCTAATTTTGAGTCGACTCAAAAGACAACCCAGAAGAGGAGGACACAAGGTGACTTTTGAGTCGACTCAAAAGACAACCCAGAAGAGGAGGACACAAGGTGACTTTTGAGTCGACTCAAAAGACAACCTAGAAGAGGAGGACACAAGGTGACTTTTGAGTCGACTCAAAAGACAACCCAGAAGAGGAGGACACAAGGTGACTTTTGAGTCGACTCAAAAGACAACCCAGAAGAGGAGGACACAAGGTGACTTTTGAGTCGACTCAAAAGACAACCCAGAAGAGGAGGACACAAGGTGACTTTTGAGTCGACTCAAAAGACAACCCAGAAGAGGAGGACACAAGGTGACTTTTGAGTCGACTCAAAAGACAACCCAGAAGAGGAGGACACAAGGTGACTTTTGAGTCGACTCAAAAGACAACCCAGAAGAGGAGGACACAGCCACATCCCAGAATGGACAGGATCGCAGAAGGCGACCACATGAATAGCCATGTGAAATGAGAGTGTTTTTGAGACGTGGCAAAACCCAAAAACACTCTCATTTCAGATCAGGAGAGGAGCCACATACCAGAATTGACAGGGTCTCAGAAGACAGGGTCTCAGAAGACAGGGTCTCAGAAGACAGGGTCTCAGAAGACAGGGTCTCAGAAGACAGGGTCTCAGAAGACTTACTACATGAATGGCAGCTTTTGAGACGTCTCAAAAGTCGTCTACTTACTACATGAATGGCAGCGACGGTAGGTCAAGACACAGAGACGTGGCGATGAGCCATACGGCCGAGCAGCGAGTAAGCAGTAGAAGCACCGTAGCACGCGCCTTTTGAGGCGCCTCAAAAGCAATAGAAGCACCGTAGCACGCGCCTTTTGAGGCGCCTCAAAAGCAATAGAAGCACCGTAGCACGCGCCTTTTGAGGCGCCTCAAAAGCAGTAGAAGCACCGTAGCACGCGCCTTTTGAGGCGCCTCAAAAGCAATAGAAGCACCGTAGCACGCGCCTTTTGAGGCGCCTCAAAAGCAGTAGAAGCACCGTAGCACGCGCCTTTTGAGGCGCCTCAAAAGCAGTAGAAGCACCGTATCACGCGCCAGGGGAGTAGAGTAGGCCCTGGTTGGAATATCGAGGTGCGTCTAGTCACTCTGCGACTTTTAAGGCGTCTCAAAGGTCGAGCAGCTGGCAATAGAAGCTGGTTCTGGTTGGAATATCGAGTTGCTGATAGTCACTTCGTGAAAGGCACAATCTCAAGTCGTAAAAACGCGGTAGACAATCAAGGTGGAGGTGAGGGGTATCGATCCCCTTACCTATCGCATGCGAAGCGATCGCTCTACCATGTGAGCTACACCCCCTTGTTCAAGACTCTATTGTTTCAACTTAGTATGTAATCTACAACCCAGTACTGGCCGATTCACCTATTTATGGGGTGGTTTTCTTTGTAGCATTGCCATCTGTGGGCGTCAGGCGAATGTGGACTGTTGAGAACAGACAGATGGACTGGGTTCCTATATTAGATGGGTTCCCAAATATGGGGTAGGTTCCTATTTGTGGGGTGAGTTTCTATTTATGGGGTGGTTTCCTATCTATTGGGTGGGGGTGGGTTCCTTCAAGTTGGGTTCCCATTTATGGGGTAGATTCCCATTTATGGAGTGGATTCGTAAAGCAACTTCCAATCTTGGGGTGGTTTCCCTTTTACATTCCACGGATCTTGTTCAAATGCATGCCCCTCCTATCGGTCCAATAATCCAATTGCTCCAATCAGGCGCGCTCATCTGATGCACTTGATTTCGTCTCCCACTCTCCCCATCCCCCTCATCCCCTCATCAGCCGCTAGAAGGTCTAATAAAAAAAATAGGAGCCACCCCTCCCGCCCATTCCTTCCCCCCATCTCCTTACAGCCTCATCCCCTAGTCCCCCCACCCCCCGACTCCCCCCATTCCCAATCCTCCTCGGCCACCCATCAGGTGCTAGCAGGTCTGCTAATAGGAGCCACACCACTCGGTCACTTCTTCCTCCCCGCCTCCTCCTCCTCCTCTGCTGCTGCTGCCTCCTCCCTCCCAGCCTCCTCGTGGCTCTTCAGCCCTGCCACTGCTGGCATCTTGCACGGCCTCATGGAGGTGAGTGATATAAGGCGTGAAGTTTGCGAAGATTGTGATATCATAGGCTTGCGGCATGGAGGTGAGTGATGAGAGGAGGAGAGGCTTGCGACATGGAGGTGAGCAGATCCTCGGACAAAGTGACTTTTGAGTCGACTCAAAGGCGAGCAGATCCTTGGACAAAGTGACTTTTGATTCGACTCAAAGGTGAGCAGATCCTCAAAGCATAGTACCAGTGAGCTGTGATGCCCGCAGTGGCAGGCCCTGAGGCTCTTAAGAGGCTCTTCAGCCCTGCCACTGCCGGCATCCTGCACGGCCTCATGGAGGTGAGGGGGGCAGTGAAAGGAAGGTGAGGCAAGGCATGCGTCATGGAGGTGAGGGGGGTAGGTGAGGCAAGGCATGCGTCATGGAGGTGAGGGGGGTAGGTGAGGCAAGGCATGCGAGATACAGGTGAGGTTGAGCTTGAGGTGACTCAAATTCAGGTTGGAGGTGGGCCTTAAGACTCATTCTTGGATCACCCTGTGTGGCCGTGCAAGAAGGTAGCACTGCTCGCCTCCTCTTCCCGTGCCTCCTCTGTCTTTCCTCGTCTGTGCCAACCTTCCCTTCCCTTCCCTTCCCTTCCCTTCCCTTCCCTTCCCTTCCCTTCCCTTCCCTTCCCTTCCCTTCCCTTCCCTTGTCCCCCTTCCTCTCATTTCCAGGCAGCAGCCATTCTCGGGTCAGCCTGTGTGGCAGTGCAAACAGTCGTGCTCGCCTCCTCTCTCGCCTCCTCCATCCCCTCCCGCATCTCCCTCTCCTGGCCCAAACCCTCCTCCTCCTCCTCCACCCCTCCTCTGCCAGCCCTTACCACCCCGGGCATGAGAGAAACACTAGTGGAGCCACTCCCCTCTGCTGCTGTCGCTGCACCTGATGCCAGTGCTGCTGCTGCTGATGGTGGGAGTGGAGGGGGAGGAGGAAGTGGTGGGGGTGGGGGTGGTCAGAGTGGAGGAGTTACGAGTGGTGCTGGTGGGTTAGGTGGAGGTGGGGGTGGCAGCATTGCGAGTGAAGCAGCAGCCACTACACTTTCTTCGTCTGCTTTGTCCTCTGCTTCTTCTGCTTCTTCTCCCTCCTCCTCCGCTGCTGCGCTGCCCTCCTTGCAAGATGATAGGGCGCTCTGGGTGGTGTGTGCTGTGCGCCTGCTGCTGCTGCCCATGCTTGGGACCGTCGCAGTCACGGTGAGTTTTGTCCCCTTCCTCCATCCCCCATTCCATGCTCTCACCCTCCATCCTCTCCCCTTTCTTCCTCTCCGCTCTGTGCGCCTGCTGCTGCTGCTGCTGCTGCTGCTGCTGCTGCTGCTGCCCATGCTTGGCACCGTCGCAGTCACGGTGAGGCACGTAGTCCTTAGCTTTCGAAATAGAGGAGAGGGGAGGTCCCTTCCCTGCCCATGCTTCCTCCCTCTCTCCTCCTCCCTCTACTCTTCCTCCCTCTCCTTTTCCAACCCCTCTCTTTCCGTCCTCTCCTCTCCACTCCTCCCTCGCTTTCCATCCTCTCCTCTTCCTCCCGCTCACTTCCAAGCCCTCTCTTTCCGTCCTCTTCTCGTCCTCTCTCTCTCTCTCTCTTCTACTCCCTCCTTTTCCACCCTCTCCTTCTCCTTCCTCTCTCTCCCGCTCCCTATCTTTCCATCCTCTCATCATCCTCCCTCTCTCTTTCCGTCGTCTCCTCTGCCTCCCTATCTCTTTCACCTTTTCCCTTTCAACCCTCTCCTTGGCCTCCCTCTCTCTTCAAACCCCTCCCTTTTTCTCCCACTCCCTCCCTTCCACCCTCTCCTACTCGTCCCTCTCACTTCCACCCTTCCCCTTGACAATCTCCTCTTTCTGCACCCCCCTTTCCGCCCTCCACTTTCCATGCTCCCCTTTCCTCCCTCCCCTTCCCGCCCTCCCACTTCCCGCCCTCCCCTTCCCGCCCTCCCCTTCCCGCCCTCCCACTTTCCGCCCTCCCCTTCCCGCCCTCCCAATTTCCGCCCTCCCCTTGCGTCTCAGGCACTAAACAATGCCAAATTGATCCCACAAGGCCTCATCTGTGATTTTTGAGTCGATTCAAACGGCACCTCCTAATCGCCCTCCCCTTTCCGCCCTCCCGTGCATCTCAGGCGCTATACAACGCCAAGCTGATTCCCCAAGACCCCATCTGTTACTTTTGAGTCGATTCAAACGTCATCACCCCCTACTCGCCCTCCCCTTTCCGCCCTCCCCTTTCCGCCCTCCCCTTTGCTTCACAGGCACTATACAACGCCAAGTTGATTCCCCAAGACCCCATCTGTGCACTCACTCTCATGGTCAGTATGACTCTCATGGTCAGTTTGACTCTCCCTCCCACACCCGTTTTTTGAGAATTCTCAGAAAACAGACTCTCATGGTCAGTGCAGTGTATCTCTCCCTCCCACACCCCTTCGCCCTTCTGAGAATTCTCAAAAACCATCTCGCCCTCCCACACCCTGTTTTGAGGCGCCTCAAAACTAGCCCTCCCACACCCCGTTTTGAGGCGCCTCAAAACTAGCCCTCCCACTCCCCGTTTTGAGGCGCTTCAAAACTAGAATTCTCAAAAACCATCTCGCCCTCCCACACCCAATTTTGAGGCGCCTCAGAACTCGCCCTCCCACACCCCGTCGCCCTTCTCTCCGCGTGTTGCCCACCCACATCGTTTTGTCATCTTCTTCTATTCACCTCATCTTCTACTACTAGCCTTGTTAAGCTGTAAGTCATCGTCTTGTATCGATTCCAGTGCAACCTGCTCCCGTCTGTGATTCACGTGTAACCAACTCCTTTATGCCACCACCATAGAATCACATCCTCATGTTTTCATCTCTCCTCATCTCTCCTCATCTCTCCTCGTCTCTCCTCATCTTTCCTCATCTCCCCTCACATTCTGGAATGCTCACCTCAAATCTCCAGAATTTCTCTTCCTCTCCCCTCACCCCTCTCTCCTATCTCCTCCTCTCACCCCTCTCCCCTCAGATCCAAACCGCCATGCCATCGGCTCAGAAGAATCATGTGCTCATGGCGCAGCTCGGCCCGAAACCCTGAACCCTCATCTCTCCACTACACCTGAACCCTCCTCTCGCCCCTCTCCCCACAGATCCATGCCATCAGCTCGGAATCTCATGCTCATGTCCTCCTCGCTCCTCATCTCTCCTCCTTTCTCCTCATCTCTCCTCCTTTCTCCTCATCTCTCCTCATCTCTCCTCATCTCTCCTCATCTCTCCTCATCTCTCCTCATCTCTCCTCATCTCTCCTCATCTCTCCTCATCTCTCCTCATCTCTCCTCTCTCCTATCTCCTCCTCACGGCCCCCCTCTCCCCATCAGATCCAAACCGCCATGCCGTCGGTATAGAATCTCGTGCTCATGGTGCAATTCATTTTCTACCTTAAATCAGAAACCCTACACCCTTTTCTCCCCTCTCCTCACGGCCCTCCTCTCCCCATCAGATCCAAACCGCCATGCCGTCGGCACAGAATCTCGTGCTCATGGCGCAGCTCAGCCCCGCCACCAAGCCTCTGGCGGGAATGCTGGCCTCACTCATGCTACGACAGGTGGGAGAAAAAGGGGGGACGGCTGGGCTGTAAGTTTTGTGCTCACTCATGTAAGTATGCCATTCCCATGCTCCCCATCACAGTGTGGATCACAGTCTCCTCCACCTAACTTCCACCTCTCCCCCTCTCTTGCATCCCTCCCCTTCTTCCCCTGCAGTATGCCATTGCCATTTCCACTGTAATCACAGTGTGGATCACAGTCTTCCTACTGCAACTCTCAAGCCTCCCAAACCTCTACTCCCCCACTACCTCTCCCCTCCTTCCCCTGCAGTATGCCATTGCCATGCTCCCCATCACAGTGTGGATCACAGTCTCCTCCACCTAACTTCCACCTCTCCCCCTCTCTTGCAAAACCCCCCATCTCCCCTCCCTCTCCTCCTCTCTTGCAAAACCCCCCACCTCCCCTACCTCTCCCCCTCTCTTGCAACCCTTCCCCCTGCAGTACGCCATTGCCATGCTCCCAATCACAGTGTGGATCACAGTCTTCCTCTCGCGACTCAACATGGCCATATGAAGACACGAGAAGTGCAAACATGATGGAGAATCACGAAACATCCAGCCTCAGGGTACACTCCTGTGAGCAAGCATCACAAAAGAGGCCTCTCGTACACAATTTACAAGATGAGGAAAAAGGGAGATAATTATTCATATTTATGTTATTTTCAAGATGGAACATTGGTCATAAAATAGCTACATATTACCTTCACATCCCTTGGTGGGTGAAGCGTTTGGTATTGACGAGATTCTTCATCAGCATTGGGTAGAACCAGGCTCACAGATTTCAGCATTGTGCGAATGTGTACAGTGCTAAACAGTGTAGACTACTGAACACATGATCTGAACACATGAGCATCATTAAAAGGAGAAGGTAAATCTGTGGACAAATGAGCAAAGGCAAGGGCAGGAAGATTGGCACGTCAGCTGGTGGAAACAAACCCAGTACCTTCCCAGCATTCCCGCCTTGGATGCTCATTCCTCCTAATACAAACACACCACACGGTTACTCCTGAAAGAACATATTCAAAGCAATATTACATTACGCAGATATAATACGGTAAGCAAAGGCAACGGCAGGAAGACTGGCAAGTCAGCTGGTGAAATCTAGCCTGGTGTCTTGCCAGCATTCCTGCCCCTGATGCTCATTCCTAACAAAAACACCCCATAACAAAACTCCAAGCTAAAAGAACCCTGAATTGGAATCTGCTACTCCATCCCCAGCAAGGAACGGAACCACAATGGAACACCGCCACCATCAGCAGCAACAGCCGTGGCAGCAGCGGCGGCGGGGACGGCAGCAGCAGCGGCGGCAGGGACGGCAGCAGCAGCGGCAACGGCAGCAGCAGCGACGGCAGCAGCAGCGGCAACGGCAGCAGCAGCGACGGCAGCAGCAGCGGCAACGGCAGCAGCAGCGACGGCAGCAGCAGCAGCAGCAGCGACGGCAGCAGCAACGCATCAGGCAGCGGCGGAGGGCAGTTTGACGCCCATGAGCTGGCTGCCCCACGCCACACCCCCCCCTCCCCCCCCCCCTCCCCCCCTCTCCCCCTCCCTCCCCCCCCCCCCCCCGAGTGGCAGCGCAAAGCCGCCAGCAGCACCGCCATCACATCAGGCAGCGGCGGAGGGCAGTTTGACGCCCATGAGCTGGCCGCCCCACGCCACACCCCCCGCAGTGGCAGTGGCCAGCACGGCATACCCACTCACAGTCGCGTTCACCCCGCCACCCCCCATCATCCCCCCCGCGCCCCCAGCGCCTGGGTATCCACCTGAGGAACCACCTGCAGGCGGCTGCCGTGGCGCCCCCTGCTGCTGCCCCCCCTGCCTGGCGCCGGTGACGCGCCCCGCTGCGCGCATCAGCAGCTCCCTCCCCATGCGCCTGCTGCCCTGCCCGCTCCGCGTGCCGCCCGAGCTCCCTCCACGTCCGCCGCCGCCGCGCGCCGCCGGGAGCGTCGCGTTAGGGAGGAGCGCGAGGAGCGCTTCGACGGTGGCGGCGTCCGCGTTCTCGAGAAACGCGTCGAGCCGCGCCTCCGCGTGCAGCAGCCACCAGCCTTCGCGCTGCTGCCAGTCGGACTCCGCCAGCGGAATCGCGAGGATCGCGGCGGCGGAGGCGGAAGAGTCGCAGACGGCGCCCTTCACGATCGCGAGGGAGTCGGGCGGCCCACCCGTGGCGCCCACGAGCAGCGCGTCGACCGCCAGGTTGTAGTTGCCGCTCGCGTTCCTGGCGGAGGGGGAAGGGAACAGAAGAACGAATCAGTTTCACGAAGCGCATCGAAATTGTAATATCTGCAACCAAGAGGAGAAGAATTTGCGACGCTGAAGCTAAATGAACGAGAAAATCCGACGAAAGGAGGCCCGCGAAAGTTAGGGTTACGGTAACATCGAAGCTCACTTAAAGATGGCGAGGTGAAAGCGGCCGTCGAGAAAGGTTTCGTCTGCGGAGCAATTGGCCAATCGCGCGCCGACGTCCGCCGTCAGATTTCCGACGACCGTCAAGTTGAACGGAGGACCGCGCGGACCAGCAGGCCCACCAGGCCCGCCAGGCCCGCCAGACCCGGGTCCGCCAGGTCCTCCGCGCGCCCCTCCGGACTGCTGGCCTCCGGGAGGGCCTCCGCCAGGCGGTCCACGCTGCGCGGCCGCGGAAGTCGCAAGGAGGAGCGCAATGCATACGAAAATATATCCCCTGGCTGCCATGGCTTTCGGAATCGTGAAGTGAATTGGTATTGAGGCGAGATCGATAGACGTTGGATGGATGGGAGAAAGCAGAGCAGAAAGTTTGAGATGGCAAGAGGTTGAACTGAGGGAGCAACTTATAGGCAACAGCTTTCTCACAATCCATCCTCGAGTCGATCGGGCGTTGACTGACGAAATATAATTCCCGAGACGCGAGGAGACTCGTCAAGTTGGTGGAGCCAGTCGCGAATCGTGAGAGACATGAGGTCTGGTATGGTATGGTATGGTTGTGTTCCCTTTGTCTGGTTTGGCTCGTATTGTCTGGTTTGGGGCTTGGCGGTGAGAGCTTAGCGGCTCGGTACTGTGACTGGTCTGGTGAGGAAGGGCCTGGTGTTGAAATTCTTCGACTGGTTTGGAGCTGTGTCTGGCTGGGTCAGCGCACAGCAGAAAACACATGAGGATTGCAGTTGAAATTGCAGTCAGCGGGTGCGAGTTTGCAAAATCTAAGCTAGTGTATACCTATTCGCTTATGTCTATAATATACATAATATACTGAGTGAATGATGTTAAGAGGATATGTCGTAAAGTTGAGACATCCAAGGATTTGTTATTGACTAAGGTGTTGCTGAATGGCTGCTATTGAGTGTCCTTCAGAATTTCAGGTTCTGCTTCCGCTTCCAGTTCTTCTCCGGTCGCTGCTGCTGCAGCGAGCAACATTGTATTGTGGTCTGGTCTGGTAGTGTGTTCTCTGCTAAGGTTGTGCGACTAGAGGAGCTATGGAAGTGTAATGAGATTTCCTGGTTATTTTTACACTCTGAACAGCTAACTATCTTATTTGAAGCTACGCGTAACCAGTATGCTTCGAACAACGAAGCTGAGGCATGGAAAGCGCATCATGTACGCGTGTATGCTGTTGTGTCACTCTCACATAAATAACGCTCCTCCGTCAAGTGTTGACGTGCCGCGTCTCCAGATGGCCATGTTGAAGCGTGAGCGGAGGCGGCTTTTGATTTTGAAGCTCTCGAAGAATGCTCGAGCTCTCTTGTCCCCAGTTGGGTGTGCTGACGCCTTCGTTTGGTCATGTTGAGGAAATAGAGAAAGAAAGAACCACCTTGTGCTACCCAGACGGCTTGAGAGGCGATTTTTTAGTCGACTCGAAAATCGCCTCATCACACGCGAAAGAACCTCCTTGTGCAACCCAGACGGCTTGAGAGTCACCCCGTCTACCTTGAGACGTCTCAAGGTGGTACTGATGTGCAGGTGTGAGAGGAAGACACGTGTGGAGGCACCTGAGAACTGCTTGTGACTTCGGAGTCGACTCAATAGTGACCTTGAGTCGTCTCAAAGTAGTGATGTTCAGGTGTGAGAGGAAGACACGTGTGGAGGCAGACACCTGAGAAGTGCTCGTGCCTGCCCTCGTGCCTTGAGACGGTTATGCTGCCGCTTTCATATGGCCATGTTGAGGCGTGAGAGGAAGACTGTGATCCACACTGTGATTGGGAGCATGGATATGGCGTACTGCAGGGGACGGAGGGGAGGTGTAGCGGGGGAGAGGGAGGCATGGGGGGAGGGTGGGGTTGAACAGCATGTGGGTTGCAGTAGGAAGACTGTGATCCACACAGTGATTGGGAGCATGGATATGGCGTACTGCTGGGGACGGAGGATAGGGGAGGGATGCAAGAGAGGGAGAGGGTTGAAAGCGAGGGAGATGGGAGTATGTTAATAAGGCTTGTGGGTTGCTGTAGGAAGGCTGTGATTCACACTGTGATTGGGAGCATGGTAATGGCGTACTGCAGGGGAAGGAGGGGAAAGATGCAAGAGAGGGGGAGGCTTGGGTGTATTGCTATTGGGTTGGGCTGTGGCGTATACACAAAGACCCCACAAGACCCCATCTGTGCCTTTTGAGTCGATTCAAGCGTCGTCACCCCCTACTCGCCCTCCCCTTTCCCCCCTCCCCTTTGCTTCTCAGGCACTGTACAAAGCCAGGCTGATTCCCCAAGACCCCATCTGTGCTATCACCCTCATGGTCAGTGCTTCCCCCCCCTCTTTCCGTTCCCTCGACCACCACAAAGCCCTGTTTTTGCTATCACCCTCATGGTCAGTGTAGCGCTTCCTTCCTTTTGAAACGTGGCTTTTCCTATCTACACGTGGCTTTTGCTATCACCCTCATGGTCAGTGTAGCGCTTCCTTCCCCGCCCTTTCGACTTCTCGCCTAGTACTGCTCTCATCTCCTTGTCATCTCCTATCGTGGCGATATATCATTTCTGTCTCTGTGTATTCTCCTCCCATGTGTGAGCCCCTTGGATCCAAACAGCACCGAATTCACGCTGTCATTTATGCGAATGAGACCAGCATCGAATCTCATTTATGTGTCTCTCCTCTCCTCGTCTCTCCTCCTTTCCCCTCTCCCATCAGATCCAAACCGCCATGCCATCGGTACAGAACCTCGTGCTCATGGCGCAATTCATTTTCTACCTTAAATCAGAAACCCTACACCCTTTTGTAATATCTCCTCTCC